GGGCTGGTAAAAAAGAAAAGTTAAAAGTAAAGTATAAGAAGTTTTCTGAGCGCTCATCGACCCTCTCATTCTAAGTGGATGAGAATTCTGGGAGATCAAGGGTTTTAGCCACACTGAATGAATGAAGCAACTCAGGTTCAAAGAGATCAGCTGACGTAACCAAGGTTACCCTTATAGTGGGTGAAAAAGGGTATGTGGATGGTACAGAAGTGGTATGATTTAGGCTCTTTTCCCAGCTTCTTCCCTATACTGTTTCCATAAAGGGAATATTAAGCTTGACACGCTATTATCCAGTGGCCTTCCTACCAATGACCGGTGGCTAGAACCTAACACCAGGAGTAGGAAGCCCAAAATGCATTATCCTGTACTCATATTGCAATGAATTTTGATGTTCATTGAGGTGAAAGGAACTGTGAAGACACAGGAAACATTTCCACGGTGTGAAAAAGGAAAGGGCACAGCCTGCTTTGACCAATACATGTTCTAAGCCCATTTCTGCCATCTGCTAGCATTATGAGCACGCCTTGATCTTCAGTCTTCCTCTTATGTAAAGTGAAATAATGGGGGGAGGGTAAAGCTCAGTGGTAGAGTGTGTGCTCAGCATGCACGAGGTCCTGGGCTGAATCCTCAGTACCTTCGTTAATTAATTAATTAATTAACTTAACTACCTCCCTCCTGTCAAAGAAAAATAAATAAAAAATAATAATTAAAAATCAAAGATAGCATTAAAAAATAAGGTGAAATAAAGATATTTAGTTTTCAGGCTTATTAAAGGGAGTACATAAGGCAAAAATACCAACAATTATTCTGCACTTATCTTGGTTCTTAACAAGATGCTACTTTGCGTGCATTATCTCATTTAATCCTCACAACAATTTACAACATAGGTGTTACTATTATTAATCCTGCCTCACGGATGAAGAAAAGTCAGGGTTCCCAGGGCCAGACGGGTAGATTCCAGGGCCACTGGAGAACATACACTTAGCCTTGGGTTGTACCATCACCAAGCGCACAGCATTCAGCCTGAAACGGAGTGGCTGCTCCTTCTTCTCCAGCTTGCCTCCTTTCCACTCTCCTGCGTCCCTTCCCAGGTGTGCGTCCACCTGGTGAACTCACTGAAGCTGCAGTTACTGGGTTTATTCTGGAACCACCTCTGCTATCGTTTAGTTACAGGAACTCGAGCTTCTAGGCTGACGTTTTCTCATCCATATATTGACAGAGTTCTGTAGAGTCTTAAAATATGGTAGCTTCAGGTCTGATCTTTTGCGCTGG